GGGAAAGCAAAGCTGGAACTCCGAGCATGAAGAGGACTTCCAACGGCCTCCGGGGCAGAGGAGGCTGGACAATGGGTAAGCAGAAGGCACAAGAATCCGTGCCTGTGACGTAGTGTTGACCAAACATACCAAGTGTACATACCAAGCCTGCCAAACTTGTCCTGGAAAACACGCAGCCAGGGTGCCCCTGAGAAGCAAGGACGGCGAGCCTTCCTCGAGCCTTCCTCTCATGTCCTTGAGCTATGTTGTCAGCAGGGGCGGCGCCCTGGAGAAGGACACCGTGCTTGGTCAAGTGGAGGGTCAGTGAAAAACAGGAAGACCCTCAAGGAGATGGCTTGGCACGGGGGCTGTAACAGTGGGCTCGGACATGGCAGCGATTGTGAGGCTGGCACAAGGCCGGGCGGTGTTTCGTTCTGTTGTCTGTATAGGGTCGCTATGCACCAGAGTCAACTCAACAGCTCCCAACCGCAACCACAATGACAACAACGCCTCGGCACGACCACGGACCATCCTTGGACACCTGTCCAGCACGGTGACGGAGCAGGGCCTGACATTTTGGTCCTGAGCCGCCCTTCTGATCATTATACCGCATATGCCCTGCCCCACGAGGGGCTCCTGATTTGAGTCCCGGTACGGCTAATCCCTGGCCGGTCAGCAGGGCCTGAGCCCAGCTCGCAGGACAGTTAAGCCCTCCATCTCCTGGGCATGGGGGTGAGGACGGATAGGGTGCTCTCTGCCTAAATCCACACTGCCAGCTCTGGCAGCCAATCAGATGTGGGAGGCCCTACCCGGGAGGCGGCTGGGTCAGGTGGGGCAGGGGTAGGGGGCACTGCCTTTGAAGCCAAGTCTGGGCCATTGGGATGCCCTGGAGACACTAGGGACTTGCTTGCCAGGGGCAGGTGCTGACTCTGTTGACATATCATCGTTAGGATCTTGGGCTAGGCCAGGCCTGGTGGGGATGGGCCATGTAGGGGGCAGAGAGTGGTGGTGGGGGGGGTTCGGGTTTTGTTTTTTCGTTTTTCCTTTTTTTGAACCTTCTTGGGTTGGGGGGGGCCCCTTCGGCTTGGAACCCTTGGGGGGTCAGGCAACAAGAGGACGACCTCTAGTGAGATGAACTGAGCCAGGGGCTGCAACCGTGAGCTCAGATGTAATCATTGTGACCTTGGCTTGGGACCGGGCAGTGTCTGGCTCCCTTGAACAAAGGATCACTGAGTCAGCATGGACTCTGACTCTCAGATGGCCTCTCATGAGCGCACCAACCGGGAGGACCTGGCAGGGTGGGTGATGGAGGCATGGATAACGATGGAAGCATCGTCATCTGGTTCTAGGGGCATCTGGGGCTAGGCTGGTGTAGAATCCCTCTCCATGTGCTGACAGGAGTGGAGCTCTCCTCCCCACGTTCCCTGGGAGATGACCGAGACTTCCGGTGGGTGGAGTGAGTGGACCAAACTGCAGCCCCCTGAGTTCTCCCAGCTGACGTGGGGGCTTTGTCATAGGGCGTTCTCTTGACCCTCAAGGGCCTAAAGATTCAGTCTTTTCCAGCTGGTGCCAGGTCTCAACTTCCTGTGTCTTTGGCCGGGGGCCCCCTTCCTGGGCCTTAGCCCTGGGGCCGAAGAGAAGACAGCACCCCCGTATTCACAGATGCCCTTGCCTGGGGCACTGTTGGGCTGTGGATTTACCCAAAGATCCCACCACCCCACCCACTCTGAATGGCCGGAGACAGGTGCCTGGCAAGGAAGCCCCCTCCTGTCCTTTGTCACCTTCCAAACTGTTGTTGTCTGGACCTGGCTCCTCACCAGCTCACAATAGGAGCACTATTTAAAGAGCCAGCCCCGCGGCCACCCACCCTGCCACAGCGCCAGGAACACGCCATAGCATGGTAGGCTGGGGCTGCCCTGCCTCCCCTGACTGTCCCCATTCCCTCTGCCCGGGTGGGGTGGGCTTCCCCTCCTCACCCTTGATCCTGACATCACTCCTCAAGGCCGACCTCATCTTCTGACCTTGACTTCCTCTGCCGTTCTGCTGGACTCACTGACCTTAACGGAATTCCTTTCCCCCTTAGCTTTGACCTGAGGCCTCCTCGGGGCCAGCCCACCCTTCATTGGTGTCACCGTGTGCCTTTAAGCCGATTGGGACTCACGGGGACCCTGTGTGGCAGAGTAGAACTGCCCCCTAATGCTGAAATCATTATGGAGTAGATCTTGGGTGTTTCCTTCTAAACGGCCGACCTTCGGGTTCCCAGTGGAGCCCTTGACCCTCCCACCACCAGCGACGGTTCACTCCAGTCTGACCTTTGTGAGTGGCCATGGGGTCCTGACTTGGGTCTCTCCCTCCCCTGAGGTGGTGGTGGTCAGACCCTGAGGAGAGGGTGAAGGGGAGGAGATGGGGACAAGAAGACAGGAGGGCCAGGCGGGCACAACAGGGGGGCTGGTGGTTTCAGAGCAGCAGGATCGGCGCTCTGACAGCCTCTGCTGCAGGGTCCTCTCAGCCAAGCTCAGCTTGACCTGGGCGGCCAGTGGGGTGACTCCTGTCTGCTGGCCTCGCTGCTCAGCCTCGTGGCTCTCTTGGCAGACCCTCAGCCTCACTAAGACCCCCACTGGTCCAGAACACAGACACAGCTACCGAGCCTGGGTTCAGTAGCCAGCCCCCTCCTCAAGGAACTGTGCCTCATGTCCTGTGACCCCAGGGGCCTTTGTGCCTGCTTTTCACTGTACTGCCTTCTCTCTGGTGCCTCCCTCCCTGCTGGACTGCGGGCTCCTCGGGGATAAGGATGGGGTCTGAATCAGGGGTCTGGGGCTTCTGAATCAGGAGACTGGCAGGTGCCTCGCAAACTTCCTGATGCAATGAGTCTTGGGGTGGGTATGATCCTTGTGGATCACCAGGGAAGCCGAGGCTAAAAGAAGGCAAGTGATCTTCTTAAAGATCACACAGCCTGTGTGCAGCCAAGTCAGGATTAAAACCAGAATCTGAGAGATGCTCTAGAGGAGCCCTGGTGGTGTCATGGGTTATGCTTTGGGGCTGCTAATCACAAGGTCAGCAGTTCAAAACCACCAGCCGCTCCTCGGGAGAAAGATGAGGCTTTCCACTGCCGTGAAGATTTCCAGCCTCAGAAACGCACAGGGGCAGCTCTGTGCTATTCTAGGGGGTCTCTGCCTCAACAGCAG